TATGTATACTTCCGCGCCAGATATTATCCTAAATATCATTCAGATTAAAAAATTAACGTTTTGATACGTGATGGGTGGTGGAAGAGTAACATTTTTTAGAAGGGGTAATGAGTACGCATGTGCGTATCTCCAACGCTTTTTGATAAATGATTTCTGGCTGACTCATGCGAGCTTTGACAAGAATGCCAGCATTTTAGAATAACAATGACTTCAGGGTGGCATTTTCTTTAGAAATTGCATTTTTCTTCCGATCGGCGACACATTTTGCACTTTGCACAGTCGTTCAATGAGTGCTAACTGGTCCAGCATGACGGGATCTAATCACAACATGAGCATTAGCAGCATGCTGACTTTGGATTCCATTGATGAGGACGAAGACCTGGCTGACATTGACATCATTCAATTTCCTCCTAATTACGAAATGTTTCCTCAACCACAACAAGAATCATCTTTTTTTCACGATGTGAATCATTCGTCTGGAGATATTGAATCTGGTTCTTCTCGGTCATCTGATCAATCAAAACAAAGCAAACGATCTAGAGGAAGAAAAAGTACTAGTGGATCAGGTTCCTCTAAGAGTCTCAGAAGGATAAACAGATGTCGTTCCTCTCGGAATCTTGAGTCTGGAGCTAGTTCCGTCTCTCCCACAACCAAACATACTTACACAAAAGAAGAGATTGAAAAACAAGCGATGGATCTAGATGAAGCTCTGATACTTGCAGCCTATGCGGAAAAGGCTGCCTTAAGAATCCAAACAGTCTTTCGAGAACGGCAACAACAAAAGCAATCGGGTAAGGATGATTCTACTACTGAAACTGACGATGAGAAGGATGAATTGACATCGGATGATGAAGTAGGGGAGGAGCCTTCGCCCGACTGGTACATGATGATATTATTGGCAACCATTGCCTGTTTTACGGACCTCCCCAATTGGATAAACAAAATTTGGGGTTGGTTGAAACGAATCTTTGGAGGAGACGATTCAGTGAATGCAACTGATATGCAGGCGATGACGAATGGGACGCCAGGGCCTGGTGGTAATGGAGGCGGTGGCGGTGGTGGTGGTGAAGCAATGGCGAGTCAAGCTGCAGCATCTGCAAGTGGAGCCGCAGGTTCCGGGGCAACAGCAGGTAGGTCTTTGATCATGGTGAAGCAGTCGTTCGCATCGCCTTAGTTGTACTCACTTTCACCTTTTCTTGTCCATTGGTAGGGGTCGCCGCTGGAGCAGCTGCATCTTCAGCAGTCGCTACTGCGGCATCAGCTGGTAAGCCTCAACAAGGAATATTTGTTATTGATTGCATGATATCAACAATTGAGAAAAGTACCATCACCATTTGACCCAATTGTTCTTTTTCTCATATCAGGAGCAGCCGCGGCTGGGGCCGGGGCAGCCCAAGTGGCTACCGTCGTTGCAGTCTCAACAGCTGCCGTTGCTGCTACTACATCGATTGTAGTATCCCCAACAATGGAGTCGATCCTCTCGGCTTGTGGACTTCCAAACCCAGACATTTGAAGTGGCCGATTCTCCATGAACTTTGAAGGCTTTCCTCGGATACTGGATGAGAGAGAAGCAGGTTTGATAGAAAATCTGGTAAAAGATTCCTACAATGAGATCACCTTGGGACCGAATGCTGGCGTATCCGGTTGCCTGGATCCCTTGTCGCGCAAAATGCAAAGCATTTCCATAGTCAATCAGACTCTGACTGATGCTGTTGGATCGATTTTCTTAGAGGTGCTATTTGAGACAACGGTGTCTTGTGACCAATGCTCTCTGACGAGTCCGTTGTTTAGCGAAAACCAACTTGCACAACAAGACACAACTCTAGCAATGCGACACAAGGTACAAATTCCGCGGCCAGCACGACCTCCACTACAGGGAGCGCAACTGAGCGTACATCACAGATTGAGCAGTCGCGATCGCTTGAAGGTATTAGTTTTGACCGCCATCAGTTCTTTCAAAAACTGATTCAATTGGTCATTTTTGAGACTGAAGAGCTAACAGAAGACGGCGAGCTTCCAGAAGGTTTCAGAAAGATTGCAAAAGCCTGGGTCATCACGGAAGAGGAGGAGGATGAGCTGGTGACTGAAATTCAATACGAACGTAAGATGACAGCGAATGGAAGCACTAGTGGGAGTGACCGTGGTGGTGCAGGTGGCAGTGGTGCCACAAGTGGCCGTGACAGCGGAAAAGGAAATGAAAGCAGTTCGCCAGTTTGCATTTGTGGATGAAGAAACCAGAGAGCTTCAAAAGGTAACAGTCGGGGTTACAGAAGGAGGCGAGACTCTACCAACCACATCATTTCCTACCTTCCAACCAAGTCACCAACCTACTGACATGCCATCATCAACTCCAATCAATGTGCTTTCAGGTCAACCAACTGCAGTTCCAAGCCTAAACCCCAGTCATGCACCATCCGAATTGCCTAGTACAATACCATTAGAAGTTCCAAGTATTGTACCCAGCGATTCACCGTCAGATATTCCGTCTATCATGCCTAGTGATGTCCCAACAACAGGTGAGTACTATCAAGAAGGAGGCGACTTCTTGCTTCAGCAACAACAAGAGCTTTTCTAATTTGGTTCGAATTCTAGCTCCATCAAGTTCACCTTCTGTGATTCCAAGTGTGATACCAAGTGAGATACCAAGTATGATTCCAAGTTTTGGTATGTTGTTCAATCTGTTTGGCGAATTCATTCAAGAACTCTTTGCAAGCAAGTATGCTTCTAACTTTTTCTCCTTGTCAATATTTCCAATGCAGCTCCCTCAACGCTACCATCATTTGTTCCCTCAGAGACACCTTCCGCTGTTCCCTCCCTTGTGCCCTCCGAGACACCTTCATTCCTTCCATCTTTTGTTCCATCGGAGACACCTTCATTTGTGCCATCATTTGTGCCATCGCTGATGCCGTCCAGGGAACCGTCCTACAGTCCATCCAATGCACCATCAGCACTTCCCTCCTCATCTCCTTCCAAATGTAAGTTCAGAAGTCACATTTTCACTGAATTCAAGGACTGCCACATGACAACTTCTCACGCATTGCCATTCATCACACATGCGTCCGCCCACCCACCCACCCACCCACAGCTCCAACGCCTCAACCGACACCACCGGCACCCACGCCAGGGCCCAACGGAAGTTCTTGTACTATTCCATCGCAATGTGAATCTGGTTGTTGTGAGAAATTCCCTGTATCAAATGTATGCTACGAGCCTAAGATAACAAACACTTGCTACTGAGGTTGAAAAAGAAAGGAGAGGGGATTTCTAGTTTTGGCAGATAAGTGTGGGAGTTGGTGAGTTGCAGTCAAAGCAACACATTACCATGACAAGTGTTACTGGGAAATTGTTAATGCCAGGAATGCTGATAGAATTACAAGGGCTGGGATATGCATTTTATTTATTGAATATTGTCTTTGGAGTCCAGTCCTAGTACTAGTCCTTCCAGGATGAGGTCACTCACCCTGAAGAACAAGTAGCCAATCCACAAGTAAAAAACAATGTTGCTGATGCAAGAAGACCCTTCCAAAAGAAAATTGAGATTTCATTAGTTGCCACTTGCTTTGAGTTGAGTTTTGAGTGTATTGATATATCTACTTGATATCATCCCACAAGCACGAGTGTGGTTCATGGATGACATGACTGTGGTCAAAATATTGTGTGAATATACTGCGCTGATGAAGAATATACATATTATTGTTACAATGTGGTTGACTTACAAAGTGTTAGCTATAGTAGACGGTACTGGAAATGGTGTGTTCATCATCATATTGATGGCTTTTGTCAGCAGCCAATTTATCCTTACTACTCATGGAACCTGGCAATTGTACGCGTCTGTATCAGTACAATGTATCTTGTATCCAATAGCACAGTCACCTTTATTTGGTCCCCTCAAACTGGGTACCAACAATGACAGGCATTCAATTCAAAGCCCCTGTGTACTCCTTTGTACTGCAATGCTTGACAACACCTTCCAAGAACTTATGTGGGATGTTTCCCATGAACATCCAATGATAGGTTAATTTGCCAAGAATGCAAAATTTGCAATCTTTGCCATCTGGATCCCACACAGCAGCAACCTCGTAGCCTACAAAGGATACAGTCCTATCAAATTTGGCTTCTCGTTCCTTCATCTCTTGGATGAGGTCCCGGAAGAGGTTGTATTTTTTGCCATGGGTGGCAGATGACACAAAATCCTTGAGCTGGGCTTGGAGCTCTTTTCCCTCCAAACGATTCAGAGCACCAGCCACCTTTTTACCAGCCTCTAAGTCCCCTTGGGAATCACCTAGCAACCATTTTGTAAGCTCAAACAGTGACCATTTCTTGTCCATGTCGCATGGTATTCTCCCTTGGAATAGAGGGCAGGCCATCTCAATTAGCTCTTTTCTTTCTCTGTTGTAAATCCTTGTACCAAAAACAAATCATCTCCCATGCTGCCAATGTATAGCATAACATAGGCAACAACACCATAGAGATTGCAATGAAAATCTATCTCTTGACATTTTTTTAGTGTAGCTGCTAGCTCAATGAAATTTCCTGTCAATTTTGAGGGTCAGGGTTACACTTTCTTCCAAATTTGTCATTGGCCAAAACAAAAATTCAACTGCAGCAATTGATTCAACTTGTTTTGGAATGGAGACAAATATACCACTCCAGTGAGCCAGCTCCCAGAGATAGGAGTACAGCCATTCTTTCACCACATTCTTGAAAACAAGTTTCTTAGATCTCTCAGACCTGCGCCCTGTCTTAAGTTTGAAGAATGGTGACACCAATAATTCTGCCATTAATTCCACCAGACTCTTGAAAACAGTTTTTTCAAACATCATCAGCCAGGAAAGACCCTCTGTGCTGACCTTGTTTGATGCATTTGGGATCCACCAAATTGGCGGATCATCTCCTTTGGTTATGTTGGTGCGGAGGAAATTATTTAAGGACTCATATGGTGTCTTGCATATAACCTTGTTTTTGTCAAATTCTACATGAATTGGTACAAGTAGACATGCAAATTTGGTCACTCAAGGTGAAACTTTCACATTGACATTATGGGACTGTAGTCCATTCAATGATCTCTCCCATGTAGTGACCTTTTGGAACAACACTTGTAAGAATGGGAGTCTTGAGTGAAGCTCCCTCAAGAATTTTGCCAGTCTTTTGGCTTGGCTTTTGAGCATCTTGGTTCAGGAGGATTGGTTTGGACGTTCGGCATCGTTGTATTGCACAGCTCTGGAAATATGTCATGGAGAAAGGTTTCAGACTCATTCCGAATGACCACTTTTTGGCGTATTTTTGATGTATTTCCATTGGCGTATTGGTCTGTTTTCAACGGTTTCAATACGTCAAATTTTTTCCAAACCGAGGGAAAAGAGCTCCAAGCCCAGCTTAAGGATTTTGTGTCATCTGGCACCCATGGCAAAAAAAAGCCTATATATATATATAACTGAGACATTAATCGATTAAATGCTATCTAGCGCATACAATTGCCGGTGGAATAAGCGGCTGTAAAGGTCAAGTACCGTGAAGCGACGAGTCAACAACTAGTTTGAACCATTGGAGACATCTGGTGGACAGAAGTTGCTCTAGTCAGGATCAAGGGGATCCCAACTCTACCCGCCACAAGGCGGGGTGATTTTGGGGCGTTGATTCCTCGAAACGGGATTAGGGGGCCTGGGCTGGGTGGAAGAAGCGGTGAAGGATACGGCGTTGGGGCGCCAGAGCGCGATAGGCCGTGCGTTCCATTCTAACCAGCTTCAGCCACTCTTCCCTATCGACGAACGGCTTGTTCAACACAGTTCGGCGTTTCACAGCGAGCATGTGTTGAACTACCTTGGGGAGGTCGGTTGGGCCCATATCAAACTGAGAGTGTATACCGTTGTTGTCCTCCGAATGTTGCACCGAGTTCCGGTGTTCCCACATATGAAATCCAAGCAAGATCAGCTGATGCGACAGGCGAGAGACCCACAGGGTCGGAGGGCGTTGGCTCCCTCGTGACTGAAGGTACTGTTCCTGCAGGGCCGCCCACTGAACAGACAGCCGGCCTTCCAATAAACCTTGGTAGCCGATGCGTTGTTAGGAGAGGAAAGCGCGGCGAAGACGAACCGGAACCAACCGACTGCGAGGTAGGGACGGATCACGAGCCCCTTGAAGAAGGTAGAGGATAGCGTGTTTGATGGCTGGGTCAGTGACTTGAGTGTCCAACCATTGGTCCAACAAGGGCGCCGTACATCGAGGAACGTGAAGGTGGTCCTCGAACTCGCCGCAGCAGGGACATGCAGCTGAGTCTGCGGCACCCCACCGGACTTTGAACTTCCCTACACCACACATACCCACGGCATGCTTTGTGGTCCAACGTTGCACACCTGCCGGGAGGGAGCTCATGGCGCGAGCCAGACTGGTCCAATCGGTCTCCAGCTCTGCCTCTGGTGTAATCGTCTGCCGCTCGTGCCATCGCTTGCGTAGAGCAGGCAGCGCCACCAGTTCCTGGACCTGTTCTG